GTTTCTACAAGGATGGTAGTCTATGGTTTTGATGCCTGGACTACTGAGTTTAGTGCTTGGTTGCAGCCCTGGGAGCTGTGTTTTTTCCTGAGGAATGCCTTTCATTAGTGCAGCGACAGTGTTGTGGTATTCAGTATGGCCGGTAGCCAGTTTACTACGTGTGAGTATACCTTATGTAATAATTCTAAACGTGTATAGTAACCAACTTGTCGTGCCCGACTACTTCAATCAACAACAAACTGAATGTCTAGTGGCAATTGTTGGCTTCGGCGCCTATAGTAACTGAAATACTCATTTACTGCGTGCGCATATTTCTGAATTGTTCTGGGACAGATTGTTTGTTCACCAGTTTTTCAAATGCGATAGTGAGGGACATTTCATTTGATTCCAACTGGCACAGGAACGCAGCAAGTGTTGGGAAACCAGATTGCACTGATGTTGAAACCTTGACTAGGACTAATGAGCTGTTCCTGTGATGGTTGATTTGATTGGTAATCCTCTAGAAGGTTAAGTTTTAACCTGTGTAGACGGTATACACATTGCAATATTGAATGTGAAATTATGTAAACTAAGGTTAAAAGTAGCCAAGGGAGATAAAACAATCCCCAGTCAACAAATGCTCAGGTAACTTAGGCACACTTGAACGATAGCAGAGTCCCTATGGACATACTCTAAGATGAACTAAAGACGAGCAGGACATGTCAAGGCCGACCTCAGCTGCGATTTAAAGATGCGTGCAAGCAGATTATGAATGATACAGGTATTGAGGTGGACTCATGGGAACAAAATGCCACGGACCGTGTTGTGTGGAGGGGGCACAGTAGGAAAGAAATGAGAATGAAGGAAGAAACGATTGCAGAAAGGATGAGAGCTGATCATCTGAGAAGAAACACACTAAACAGAAATATTAACAACAGCGCTTCTGAAATCTCATGCTATAACTGTAAAAGATGTTCTTAACACGGGCGGGTCTTGCTAGTCACACTCGCCATCGCCATAGGTTGTGAGTCCCATGCTTCCTCATAGCACAATATAACACTATCGTCTGAAAAGACGGAAATTGCCAATGAAGTCACCATTAATTACTATCAATATAAGGGCAAGGAAACCGCAAACAAAATTAAAATATAGAGACAATGGCAGGGTCAAGAGAGACACACAAAAACTGTGTATACAAGGGAGTTGAATGAGAGCATACAACGAGGTAGACCGAGAACACAACTGAGAAAAAACATACCACTTGGAGTCACCAACTGAAAAGATAATGTAAATTACGGAGAATAATTGAGACGGGCTATATCTGCAGCATTGAGCCCCAAGTGCTCTGAATGCTAAAAGAAAATGAGAGGAAGTATGTATAATATCAAACAATATGTCATATCGTTTAAAAAAAAACGTTTATGAAAGTTTAAAAGTTACACAAACTAATATTGACATATAATACACAAACTGCAATGACAGTGTCACGTGGTGCACAGACTATAATCGATAGAGTCATATGTCACACAAACCACGAGTTCAAGCTACACGTGTAGCAATGATATAATTTTTGATACAGAAATTACCATATTAGGGCCACGTCTATATATCAGCTAGGCTAATTGACACGATCTTTACTGAAACCGAATCAGGAACGAACAAACAAACTTTGTTTTCAAAGGGTTAAGAACTGGGCACGAAGGCCCGTCTACTATCTTTCCCTTCTACTCTCCCTTCTGCCATGCATACTTTCATTCATACATCTGGTAACAGGTAAATAGTAAACATTATCAACAGCAGCTAAATATCAGATACAGGCATTGGAACGTGTTCGAAATACACCTACATTTCTAACCACAGAAAACAACAATAATTGTAATATAGGACCCCTTTCCCACGCCTTCAGGCGTATTGGGGCATATAAGTCTGGAACTATGTGTTGTAGACACATCGGCACTCTTTGGGTGATGTGGTTAACATCACACCGGCCACCTTTACTTCCTACGACTTTCCCTGGTACTTATTTAAGGATAAGGCAGCCAAAAGAATTATTTTTAAATTTTCGGATCAGTCAGGACGTGAACCTAGGTCCTTTAAATACGCAGGCGAGCGTCTAGCCGCTTCACCACAGAGGCTCATAATAAATGTAATAGCTCTAGGGAAAATATACGCTATTTATAAGAAGAGAGCAGGGAGAAGGGGACAGGGAGAAAAACGCAGGATCATGAGGGGAAAATGGAAACGGGATACTAGCAAGCAAGCAACACATAGTGAGAAGAACGTAGTTCTAGGAACTCCTTCTAGGAAATTGTGAAGAACACTGTCCACGCTAGTGTATGATCTGTTATAGAGTAAGTAAAAGGAACCATTTTCAACTCTATCAGGTGTATTTGGCATATATGACTTGATCTATATTGTATAGACCAATCGTCACTCAGCGGGTGATGTAGTCAGTATCACGCCGGCCACCTTTACTTCCCAGGACTTTACCTGGTACCCATTCAAGGCAGGGTCATGCTGGGAGCCAAGGTCATTTTTGAAGAAAGTTCGGCTTTGTCAGGACCCGAGCTCACGACGTTCCGATTCGCAGGCTAGCGTTGCTATATAGGGCTAGACCTATTTAAGTGTGTACCATTTGACATTCGCCGGCCGCCTTTACATCACGGAACATTACCTGGAATCCGTTTAGGTCTGCGTGGACCTGGAACATTCGGGCCGGCACTTGAACATCTGGCTGCAGCGGTCTCTTTCTTTCTAGAACACTGTAGAAAACATCAATTAATCACTTACCATCTACACAATGAAGGTTTACCGCAATAGATTTGCAACAAGCTCTATAAAAATAATGCAGGAATAGAAATCATCAAGGATGAAGTCAAGCAAGAAATATGACTCCATTATTTCCACTTTATCAGGAACGAGTAGTACTTCCGCTTTATTCTATCTTGATTTCATCAATTTGTTTCCTTTGCGTCTTCTAGCTAGTTTCCCTGACCTTTTCCCCCCTTCATTTTGGATTTTTAGCTAGTCTTTTGCTGTGACCAAAGTCGCTGATATTGTTAATAGTATGAAAGATGTCAAACCACATGGGAAGTAGGACTAATCAGGTTCACATTATCACGAACGACAAGTAAACGTTGCGGTTAGAAAACCTTCAAAAGCACAAGACATGAATAGAAAATGTAACAATTACAAACAGGAGAGCACAAAATCACCTAATTGATGAAATACCAAGAAATGTCAATGTCTTTTTTGTTTTTGTTTTTTGTTTTGTTCAACAGAAGCCATCTCATAATAAACTGTTAAGTTAATTTTTGGAGTTAATATATCGACCCTTTAAATCCAAGGGGTTTCTCGCAGCAAATGCCAAAGGAAATGAATGACAATTATAAAAAAATAACGAATGCATAACTTTCAAAAAGGCAAATTACGAAGTTGAAGTAACTAAAATAGAAGCCAGATTTCTTTAGTGTGCTGTGAACGGTTCTAAAATGGAGGTGAACACATTGCGTGATACTAGGATTCATGTGGAGAAGTCAGAAATCACTTGACTTCTTCGCACGCGTTACATGGGACTAAAAGAGTTAATAGACAAACAAACTTTTGACATTACATTCTTCTTCTTCTTCTTCTTCTTCTTCTTCTTCTTCTTCTTCTTCTTCTTCTTCTTCTTCTTCTTCTTCTTCTTCTTCTTCTTCTTCTTCTTCTTCTTCTTCTTCTTCTTCTTCTTCTTCTTCTTCTTCTTCTTCTTCTTCTTCTTCTTCTTCTTCTTCTTCTTATTCTTCTTCTTCTTCTTTTTATTCTTTTTCTTCTTCTTCTTCTTCTTCTTCTTCTTCTTCTTCTTCTTCTTCTTCTTCTTCTTCTTCTTCTTCTTCTTCTTCTTCTTCTTCTTCTTCTTCTTCTTCTTCTTCTTCTTCTTTTTCTTTTTCTTCTTCTTCTTCTTCTGCTGTTCTTGTGTTTATTATTGTTTTCTCCTGGAAACCACTTGGAAGGAAAAGAGAACTTCTAGACATGATCGGAAAAGGGAGCGTTTAGCATTCTTTGAAATTGTCAATGACGGCTCAGCCACCCCCTCCCCTTTTTTTTCCCCAATCTCCCCACCCCTAACATTTTCCCCGGGAAAGCTCAAATGTTTTTAATCCTCTAGGTTTTGGCGACTCTAAAGTAAATGCAGTGATATGACCTGGAAAGTTCAACTTTTATAAAATCTAGGCATGCAATAAAAAATGTTATCTTAAATATAATAATAATCTCTCTCTCTCTCTCTCTCTCTCTCTCTCTCTCTCTCTCTCTCTCTCTCTCTCTCTCTC